AAAAATAAATAAAACAAAATACAAACCAATAGAGAAAGTGTTGAAAACAAATATTTTCGGTTTCATCCGAAGAGAGACATCACTCTTAGGATTATTAGCGGAGAATATGTCCACAATTTCTGTGAACAACATCTCATTGTCGCGACGATCGCCGTAACCGTAGATTCTCTGATCAAATCCGGTGCCGATAACCATCACAAACAAGGCGTGGGCGACGAACTTCTGACACGACACCCCCAACAGCTTATCCTTAATCTCAGAGCACGTGGCGTTTATATATATTTCGCACTTGAAGTCTAACTGCCCAAAAATGGAATACCACCGCGATATCTCGACGTCCAGGCCATCTTTGGTCATAAATATGATGGCCCGACCCCTGGGATGAGAACTCATTTGAAAGTATCGCGAGTTTCCCGATCGCAGTATAGACGCCTCCATCACTTTCAGCTCACTATCAGTGGTGCACTCCCAGGGCTCCTTCGTTATGAGCATCTTGACCACGGCCTCTGCCTCCACTTTCAGTCCAACCATATCTAACAACTGCTTAAGCATATCAGGATTTTGCATTATCCCGTCCGCAATCTCATTGATTATTTGTTGGGCTTCTTTCTCGTGCATTTGAGCTTTCTATTAGTAAATAATATGTTCACTCCTTATAACTAAAGTTTACCAGTGTATCTTTAATCAAATAATTGTGCTTACTTTCATTTTGGCTAATAATGGATTTCCGTTAGTAGTGGTAATCAAACCAAGGTTAATTTTTTTAATTAATGTGTGAATCACATCGTGGACAATATTATCGGCTGAGTTGTCCGTTTGATTCCGTAGTATATTATTGGTTGCATCGGTTTGTAATACAAGTGATTTCTGATTGAAATCGACTGCCGTTGTAGTAATAGCTGATGGTTGGGGTTGTTGTTGAGTAAGGGCTCCGTTTGTATACGTATATTCCAGTCCCTGACCTACTGTTCCTTCATTGGTTGGCGACTCTTGATCAACTAAGTCTTGCAAAACAGGATGTATTAAGTTATCCGTATTAATAGTATCGGTAACCAAAGGACTGTAAGTACTTTCAATCGAGTGGACTAAAGTGGATGTCCCGTAACTTGGCGTTACGGGTTCAGTATATAGCCATCCAGTCTGTGCACCCGATGTATGTGTTAGGTTTGGTTGACTGGAAGTCGTGTCCATACAGTTGTTGCGATTACCCGTTGAATTGACGCCAAAATTGTAACCATTATTTGCACCTGAATTGGGTTGATATTGGCCATAAACTGGTTGTATATTACCAGTATTCATTGGTGGTGCAGATGTACAATTTGTCATCGAAGTGTTTGCTAATACTTGTGGTGATGTCGAAGTGTGCACTGCACTCCCATTTATTCCTTGATTGTATACATTAAATTGCTGTAAGTGTACCTGAGCAGGGTATGTATAGTTACCATTAATTTGTTGTATAGCGCTTGTATTTGTTGGCGGATGACCCGAGTAGTGGTCAGTGCCGAGGTTATAATTATAGCCCTGATTTGGCACAAACCCAGTCCCTTGGTTTGTGTTACTTCTGTGCCGTTTGGTACGTCTGGCGCTGTTTTTAAGAGAATCTTCGGTAGATGTCACTGATCCAGGTAAATAAAGGTCACTAATAGGCGACTCATCAATAGAAGTGGAGGGCTCAGAGGGTACATCAGGTCCTTGTATCGGGTTTTCTGCCACTATAGTCTGCAACAAAATCTGGTCAATGAATCTAGTACATTTATAGTAACTTTTCATATTCATCCAAATGAATATACAAATTATTTCTATATAATTAAAGTATGAATCATTTTATTTCAATATCGAGAAAGGTTATAATTAAGGTTGCATGGCGCGTAATTTTGCGTAATTTACAGCGTAAAATTACGTAATTTTACGCGTAATTTACGCTGTCAAAAATATTTTACGTAAAATTCAATTCAAGAAAAAATAAATAATATTGTTTG